CCTTGTGATCGGCAAGCCTCCGCCTCCCGGTGTGCTGGGATCACAGGCCTGAGCCACCGTGCCTGGTCCTTCTTGTGTTTGTTTGTTTTTTCTTTTTCTTTTCTTTTCTTCTTTTTGTTGGGGGCGGGGGGAGACAGAATCTGTCGCCCAGGCTGGAGTGCAGTGGTGCGATCTTGGCTCACTGCAACCTCTGCCTCCTGGTTCAAGCGATTCTCCTGCCTCAGCCTCCCAAGTACCTTGGACTTCAGGCATGCGCCACCACACCAGGCTAATTTTTGTATTTTTTGTAGAGATGGGGTTTCACCATGTTAGCCAGGATGGTCTCGATCTCCTGATCTTGTGATCCACCCATCTCAGCCTCCCAAAGTGCTGGGATTACAGGTGTGAGCCACCGTACCCAGCTGCCCGTCTTGTTTTTTAGGGGAAGAGGTCTCACTATGTTGCACAGTCTGACTCTGAGCTCCTGGGCTCAAGCGATTCCATACCTGGCTTTGTGATGCAGCTTGAAGCATTTTGGTGTCTTGTTTTACCAATTCTTTTTCTTTTTCCTTTGTTTCCTTTGGTTTCGATATCAGTGGTCTGTTTCTCTCTTGGTCTTAGTTGATTCAGTTAATAATTTGTAAGGATGTAAAGTAAAATAGACCTTTATACACAAAAAGACCAGTGTCCTAAATATATTATTTACAGACCAGGTCAGGCATGGTGGTTCACATGTAATTTCAGCACTTTGGGAGGCTGAAGCAGGTGGATCACTTGAGCCCAGGAGTTTGAGACCAGCCTGGGAAACAGAGCCGGGCATGGTGGCATGCGCCTCTAGTCCCAGCTACTCAGGAAACTGATGCAGGAGCCTCACTTGAGCTTGGGAGCGTGCGGCTGCAGCGAGTCAGTGATCATGCCGCTGCACTCTAGCCCGGGTCACAGGGCTCTTTGTTGCCCAGGCTGGTCTCGAATTCGGGAACTCAAGCAGTCTCCCTCCTGAGCCTCGCGAAGTGCTAGGATTACAGGTGTGAGCCACTCTGCCCAGCTTTCACACATTCTCTTCTGGTGGAAGGTGAATAAGAAAAGAAGGTGGCTTATTTTTTTTCAGTGTCTAAAGAGGGGCTTTGACAGAGAAGCTTTTTCAGCTTTCTTAATGGGTATGTTTTGAAGGCCAGAACTGATGGCCCTGGTGGATGGATTCCTGCATTTCTAGCCTGAGCACCTGAGGGCTGCCTGTCACTGATGAGGAGAGTCCTGGGAGAGGAGCTGGGGCTGGGAGTCTTGTTTGAGTTCCCCCAGTGAAGTGGGAGTTTTGGAGTATGTGTAGCGTTCAGGGTCTGAGGCCTGGATGAGCCGGCAGTGAGCGTCAAGGGAGAAGCCGGAGTCCAGGCCTGGAGCATCGAACACTGCGCGGTAAGGAGAGGGGGCTCCGGGAGGGGACTGGAAAGGAGCCCTGCGAAGCAGGAACCAGGAGTGTGGTGTCCTGGACACCCAGGAGGCAGTCGTTCTATGAGGTTCTGCTCTCTCCACTGAGACGGCGGGTAGGAGTGGGAGGAGTGGTCGTCTGCAAGTGCCTCACGGGAAAGAGAAGGGAGAGGGGAGCCAGCGCCAGCGAGGCAGACAGCGAGTGCTGGAGCCTTTGGTGTTGCCCTTCCTGACCCCAGCAAGAGTGTTGGGCAGTGCCTCCTTGGAGATGTCCCTGCAGTGGGAGAGCCATGGCGTAGCCTCTGCCCTCCACAGGCCGGCGCCTTCCCCTGTGGCAGGGGTGCCCACACCGGGTGCACAGATGGGAGCTGGGCTGAGTGTGGCCGGCCGCTTGTTTGACAAATAGGCTGTTGTTTAACTGGGTTCATGGTGAGACTCAGACTATGGACTGTTTTTAAATTTTATTCTTTGGAGGTATTTGGCTTGCGTGACCTTTGTTTGATTATGTGTTACTTGAGCAATGTTAAGGAAGCTACATGAAGCATGAACCAGAGTGTTAGACTGCAGACCGTGTCCCTGAAGCATGAACCATAGTGTTGGGCTGCAGACCATCTCCCTGTAGCATGAATCAGAGTGTTAGACTGCAGACCGTGTCCCTGAAGCATGAACCAGAGTGTTAGGCTGCAGACCGTGTCCCTGTAGCATGAACCAGAGTGTTGGGCTGCAGACCGTCTCCCTGTAGCATGAACCAGAGTGTTAGACTGCAGACCGTCTCCCTGTAGCATGAACCAGAGTGTTAGGCTGCAGACCGTGTCCCTGTAGCATGAACCAGAGTGTTAGGCTGCAGACTGTGTCCCTGAAGCATGAACCAGAGTGTTAGACTGCAGACCGTCTCCCTGTAGCATGAACGAGAGTGTTAGGCTGCAGACCGTGTCCCTGTAGCATGAACCAGAGTGTTAGACTGCAGACCGTCTCCCTGTAGCATGAACGAGAGTGTTAGGCTGCAGACCGTGTCCCTGAAGCATGAACCAGAGTGTTAGGCTGCAGACCGTGTCCCTGAAGCATGAACCAGAGTGTTGGGCTGCAGACCGTGTCCCTGTAGCATGAACGAGAGTGTTAGGCTGCAGCCCGTGTCCCTGAAGCATGAACCAGAGTGTTAGGCTGCAGACCGTGTCCCTGAAGCATGAACCAGAGTGTTAGACTGCAGACCGTGTCCCTGTAGCATGAACGAGAGTGTTAGGCTGCAGACTGTGTCCCTGAAGCATGAACCAGTGTTAGGCTGCAGACCGTGTCCCTGAAGCATGAACCAGAGTGTTAGACTGCAGACCGTGTCCCTGTAGCATGAACGAGAGTGTTAGGCTGCAGACCGTGTCCCTGAAGCATGAACCAGAGTGTTGGGCTGCAGACCGTGTCCCTGAAGCATGAACCAGAGTGTTGGGCTGCAGACCGTGTCCCTGTAGCATGAACCAGAGTGTTAGACTGCAGACCGTCTCCCTGTAGCATGAACCAGAGTGTTAGGCTGCAGACCGTGTCCCTGTAGCATGAACCAGAGTGTTAGACTGCAGACCGTCTCCCTGTAGCATGAACGAGAGTGTTAGGCTGCAGACCGTGTCCCTGTAGCATGAACCAGAGTGTTAGACTGCAGACCGTCTCCCTGTAGCATGAACGAGAGTGTTAGGCTGCAGACCGTGTCCCTGAAGCATGAACCAGAGTGTTAGGCTGCAGACCGTGTCCCTGAAGCATGAACCAGAGTGTTAGACTGCAGACCGTCTCCCTGTAGCATGAACGAGAGTGTTAGGCTGCAGACTGTGTCCCTGAAGCATGAACCAGTGTTAGGCTGCAGACCGTGTCCCTGAAGCATGAACCAGAGTGTTAGACTGCAGACCGTGTCCCTGTAGCATGAACGAGAGTGTTAGGCTGCAGACCGTGTCCCTGAAGCATGAACCAGAGTGTTGGGCTGCAGACCGTGTCCCTGAAGCATGAACCAGAGTGTTGGGCTGCAGACCGTGTCCCTGTAGCATGAACCAGAGTGTTAGACTGCAGACCGTCTCCCTGTAGCATGAACCAGAGTGTTAGGCTGCAGACCGTGTCCCTGTAGCATGAACCAGAGTGTTAGACTGCAGACCGTCTCCCTGTAGCATGAACGAGAGTGTTAGGCTGCAGACCGTGTCCCTGTAGCATGAACCAGAGTGTTAGACTGCAGACCGTCTCCCTGTAGCATGAACGAGAGTGTTAGGCTGCAGACCGTGTCCCTGAAGCATGAACCAGAGTGTTAGGCTGCAGACCGTGTCCCTGAAGCATGAACCAGAGTGTTAGACTGCAGACCGTGTCCCTGTAGCATGAACCAGAGTGTTAGACTGCAGACTGTCTCCCTGTAGCATGAACGAGAGTGTTAGGCTGCAGACTGTGTCCCTGAAGCATGAACCAGAGTGTTGGGCTGCAGACCGTCTCCCTGTAGCTTAACGTCTCTGGCTCTTTGTTTGCCAGGGCCAGCAGTGAAAAGGGTGATAGGATTTTTATTTAAGCAAAAGGAATTATTTTTCTTCCTTAAATAAGAAAACTGCCACAAAATTATTGCTTTGTGACCCAGATACATTTGTATGTTTATTTTGAAAGCAAAATACTCACTAGGTAGTATTTGAATTTTAAGTCTGCTGTGAGACCTCAAGTGTATTTGTGCACTTATTTTATTTTTGATTATTTATTTATTTTGACATGGAGACTGGCTCTATCACCCAGGCCGGAGTGCAGTGGCCTACTCCCGGCTCACGGCAACCTCCGCCTGCCGGGTTCAAGTGATTCTCCTGCCTCAGCTTCCCGAGTAGCTGGGATTACAGGCCAGTGGCACCACGCCCGGCTAAGTTTTGTATTTACAGTAGAGACGGAGTTTCACCATGTTGGTTAGGCTGGTCTCAAACCTCTGACCTTGTGATCCGCCTGCCTCGGCCTCTCAAAGTGCTGGGATTACAGGTATGAGCCACCTAGCCTCGTGCACTTACTTTGAAAGGAGTCATGTAGATTAAGTAATATTTGAGTCTTTTTGAGACTATGCCTTTTTTTTTTTTTTTTTTTTGGTCGGAGGAGTCAGGGTCTCTTGCGCAGACTTAAGTGCAGTGGCGCTGTCACAGCTCACTGCAGCCTCGACCTTCTGGGTCCAAACAGTCCTGCTGCCTCAGCCTCTTGAGAATCTGGGACCACAGGCATGCGCCACCATGCCCGGCTAATTTTTTTGTAGAGATGGAGTCTCGCTGTGTTGCCCAGGCTGGTCTTGACCTCCTGGACCCAAGTGAGCTCCGTGCCTCAGCCTCCCAAAGTGCTGGGATTTCAGGCATGAGCTACGATACCTGGCCTAGTCTGTGTTTTTAATTTTCCTGTCTGGCTGGTCTGAATAGTGTTCTTACTGGTGTTTTAAAGTCATGAAACACCTTAGTTGTGATTTTGTTTGTAAATGACTTGAAATCACACGGTGAGCTGAGCTTGGAAGTGTTGTGTACACATCCTTAGCTGCTCCAGTGTTGTGGGGGACACTTGGGGACTCTGCTCCTACTCTTGTAGGGACAGCAAAAGGGTGCTGATTGTGGGCTTTTCTTTTCCAGGTGCACATTCAGGTTCCCGAGCACAAACATCAAGATAACGTTCACTGCCCTGTCCAGCGAGAAGAGGGAGAAGCAGGAGGCGTCGGAGTCTCCGGTGAAGGCCGTGCAGCCGAACATCTCACCCCTGACCATCAACATTCCAGACACCATGGCCCACCTCATCAGCCCTCTGCCCTCCCCTACAGGAACCATCAGGTGCGGCAGTGGGGACGGGGGCACTGGAGCGTCCTCAGTCCCAGGGGCAGACCCAGAGTGACCCCTTTCCCCTTCCCTGGTGCTAACTTACGTGGGAAGAGAGATGTGAAGTGGTGCTTAAAATACCGTTGAATTTCTGCTCTGAATTTCCTGCATTATGAAATGTAGTTCCCAAATGATCCTGGTTTTTATTTACTCGTTTTTGTTTTAAGACCGAGTCTCACTCTGTTGCCCAGGCTGGAGTGCAGTGATGTGGTCTTGGCTCACTGCAGCCGCTGCCTCCCGGTTCAGGCAATTTTCCTGCCTCAGCCACCCTAGTACCTGGGATTATAGGTGCCTGACATCACTCCCGGCTAATTTTTGAATTTTGATAGAGATGGGGTTTTACCATGTTGGTAATGCTGGTCTTGAACTCCTGACCTCAAGTGATCTGTCTGCTTTGGCCTCCCAAAGTGCTGGGATTACGGTTGTAAGCCATTGTGCTGGTCTCTTTACTCATTCTTTTTTTTTTTTCTTCTTTACTCATTCTTTAAAAGATTTGTGTTTTTTTAAAATTGTACTTTAGGTTCTGGGGTACACGTGCAGTTCATGCAGGATTACTGCATAGGTACATATATGGCAAGGTGGTTTGCTGCCTCCATCCCCTTATCACCCATATCTGGCATTTCTCCCCATGTTACCCCTCCCCATTCCCCACTGTCCCCGTAGCTCCTCCTCCAACAGACCCCAGTGTGTGATGCTCCCCTCCCTGTGTCCATGTGTTCTCATTGTTCAACACCCGCCTTTGAGTGAGAACATTCGGTGTTTGATTTTCTGTTCTTGTGTCAGTTTGCTGAGGATGATTGATTCATCCGTGTCTCTACAAAGGACACGAACTCGTTTTTTATTGCTGCATAGTATTCCATGGCCTGTATGTGCCACATTTTCTTTGTCCAGTCTGTCATCGATGGGCATTTGGGTTGGTTCCAGGTCTTTGCTGTTGTAAACAGTGCCACAGTGAACATAACGTGTGCATGTGTCTTTATAGTAGAACGATTTATAATCCTTTGGGTATATACTCAGTAATGGGACTGCTGGGTCAAATGGAATTTCTCTGTCTAGGTCCTTGGGGAAGTGCCACACTGTCTTCCACAATGGTTGAACTAATTGACACTCCCACCAGCAGTGTAAACGTGTTCCTGTTTCTCCACATCCTCTCCAGCGTCTGTTGTTTCCTGATTTTATAATGATCACTATTCTTTTTTTTTTTTTTCCTTTTTATTTTCACCACTATACTAACGAGGATGATTGCGATTCTAACTAGCATGAGATGGTATTTCAATGTGGTTTTGATTTGCATTTCTCTAATGACCAGTGATGATGAGCATTTTTTCATATGTGTGTTGGCATCATGTGTGTCTTCTTTTGAAAAGTGTCTGTTCAGGTCCTTCACCCACTTTTGAATGGGTTTTTTTTTTCTTGTAAATCTGTTTTAGTTCAAAAAGCTGTTTTTAAAGTTTTTTTTAGAGATGAGTTCTGGCTGTGTTGCCCAGGATGGACTTAAACTCCTGGACTTAAGTGATCCTCCCGTCTTGACCTCCTGAGTACCTAGGACAACAGATGTGTTCCACTGTGTCTGGCCTGGATTCTTTTTTTTTTGAGACAGAGTCTCGCTCTGTTGCCCAGGCTGGAGTCCAGTGGCATGATCTTGGCTCACTACAACCTCTGCCTCCCGGGTTCAAGCAATTCTCTTGCCTCAGCCTCCTGAGTAGCTGGGATTATAGGCATGTGCCACCATGCCAGGCTGATTTTTGTTTTTTTAGTAGAGATGGGGTTTCACTATGTTGGCCAGGCTGATCTTGAGTTCCTGACCTTGTGATCTGCCTGCCTTGGCCTCCCAAAGTGTAGGGATTACAGGCGTGAGCCACCGTGCTTGGCCTTGTTTGTATTGGAGTATAAGTGAAAGGGGCAGACAGTGGTCTAAAGTCTGAGATAGATTTTAATTTTAATTTTGAATTTTTTTAGAGAGCCCACAGCCTGAAGAACTATGAGCCAATTAAACATCTTGTCTTTGTTTGTTTTGAAAGATAAAGAAGAATAGGCCAGGCTCGGTGGCTCACACCTGTAATCCCAGCACCTTGGGAGGCTGAGGCGGGTAGATCACCTCAGGTCAGGAGTTAAAGACCAGGCTCCCCAACCTGGCAAAACCCTGTCTCTACTAAAAATACAAAAAATTAGCCGGGAGTGGTGGCTCATGCCTGTAATCCCAGTTACTTGGGAGGCTGAGGCAGGAGAATCGCTTGAACCTGGGAGGCCGAGATTGCGGTGAGCCGAGATCACACCATTGCACTCTAGCCTGTGTGACAAGAGTAAAACTCCATCTCAAAAAAAAAAAAAAGGAAGAATAGAGAGCCCAGAAATAAACCCTCACAGAATGTAGTCAAATTATGGTGTTTTTGTTTTGTTTTGTTTTGGACATGGAGTTTTGTTCTTGTCGCCCAGGCTGGAGTGCAGTGGCGTCATCTTGGCTCACCGCAACCTTTGCCTCCCCGGTTCATGTAATTCACCTGCCTCGGCCTCCCAAGGTATTGAGAGTACAGGTGCGAGCCAGCCAATCTTTGACAACACCATTCTTTCAGACTTTCCAGCAAGTAAACTGTATGTCCACATGGAAAATAATGAAGTTGCGCCCTTATACCATATGCAAAAATCAACTCAAAGCGGATCAAAGACCTAAATTTAAGGCCTGAAACTGTAAAATTCCTAGAAAAAAACATAGGCAAAACTCCCATGACATTGGATTTGGCATTGATTTCTTGGATTTGATACCAAAGGCATAGGCAGCAAAAGAAACAGACAGATTGAACTTCTTGAAAATTTTAAAAATTTGTACACCAAAAGACAACATAAACAGTAAAAAGGGAGAAAATATTTGCAAATCATATATCTGACAAGGAATTAATATCCAGATTATAGAGAGACCTCCTGAATTTCAACATCAAAGAAACAAAACACCAAGTTCAAAAAAACAGAAAGCACCTTCTTCCAAAGAAGATACAGAAATGGCCAATAAGGACTTGAGAAGATACTCACTGTCAGTAATCATTAGGTGAATGCCAGTCAGAACACAGTGACCTCCCACCTCACACCCACTGGATTGGCTGCTATTAAAAACAGCAAACCTGCAAGCCAGTGTGAGTGAGGATGTGGAGACTGGAACTATTGTGCACTAATGCAAGGAACGCAAAACAGCGTGGCTGCTGCGGACAGCAGTCCAGCAGTTCCTGCAGAAGTTAAAAATAGAGTGACGTGTGATCCTTCAACCCCACTTCTGGACGTAGACCCAAAGTGAAGGCAGGGTCTTAAAGGAACATTTGTACACTCGTTCTCATAGCAGCGCTGTGCACATCTCCAGAAGATAGAAGATACAGTGGGATGTTCCTCAGCCTGACCAAGGAAATCCTGATGTATGCCGAAACATGAAGTGACCCAGGACATTATGTTGGTGAAATAAGCCGGTCACTGAGATTCCTAGAGTATCAAATTTGCAGAGACAGAAGGTAGAATGGAGGTGGCCAGGGTCTGGGGGTGGAGAGGGGAGCTGGTGTTTCTTGAGGACCGATCTTCAGTTTGGGAAGGTGAGAACGTTCTGGAGACAGGTGGTGTGATGGCTGCACATCTATGTGAATGCGCTTCATGCTGCTGAGCTGTGCACTTTAAAATGGGTACAGTGGTAAATTTTCTTTTTTTTTTCTTTTATTATACTTTAATTTCTGGGGTACCTGTGCAGAGCGTGCAGGTTTGTTACATAGGTATACATGTGCCATGGTGGTTTGCTGCATCCATTCCCCCCGTAATCTACATTACGTATTTCTCCTAATGTTAGCCTTCCCCAATCTCCCCATCTCCCTGCTACCTCTCCCCTAGACACGCTGGCCTCCGAGAAGCCCCGGTGTGTAATATTCCCCTCCCCATGTGTTTTCATTGTTCAACACCCACCTTTGAGTGAGAACACGCCGTGTTTGGTTTTCTGTTCTTGTGTCAGTTTGCTGAGAATGATGGTTTCCAGCTTCATCCATGTCCCTGCAAAGGACATTAACTCATCCTTTTTTATGACTGCATAGTATTCCATGGCATATATGTGCCACATTTTCTTTTATCCAGTCTATCATTGATGGGCATTTGGGTTGGTTCCAAGTGTTTGCTCTTGGAAACAGTGCTGCAGAAAATATACATGTGCATGTGTCTTTATAATTGAATGTTTTATAATTGATAGGGAGGCCGAGGTGGGCGGATCATGAGGTCAGGAGTTCAAGACCAGACTGGCCAACATGGTGAAACCCTATGTCTACTAAAAAAAAATAAAAATTAGCTCGGCATGGTGGCTCATGCCTGTAATCCCAGCTACTTGGGAGGCTGAGATAGGAGAATTGCTTGAACCAGGACCTGGGAGGTGAAGGTTACAGTGAGCCTAGATTGCACCACTGTACTCTAGCCTGGGCTACAGAGCAAGACTCCATCTTGAAAAAACAAAAACAAAAAATCTGTGTTTCCATAGGAAATGCTGATATTTCCTTTTTTTGTTATTATTATTTTTAACATTTTCATATTTGTTTTTCCTGTAATTAGAGCCAGTTGTTGGCACACAGTAGGATCGTGCTCTGTGACAGACTCATGGGAACAACCTTTTCTCTTCCACAGCGCTGCAAACTCCTGCCCCTCCAGCCCCCGGGGAGCGGGGTCTTCAGGGTACAAGGTGGGCCGAGTGATGCCATCTGACCTCAATTTAATGGCTGACAACTCACAGCCTGAAAACGAAAAGGAAGCTTCAGGTGGAGACAGCCCGAAGGTAAAGGCTTTGTAGCCTTGGAGCAGCCCCGGGGACAGCGCGCAGCTGCAGGGCCCTTGGTGTTACCTGCCTGTCTAGTGACAGCCTTGAGTGGTCGCTGTACTCTAGCCTAGGCCACAAAAATAGCAAGACCCTGTCTGGAAAAAAAAATTGGGGTTGAGGAGGGTCTTCTTGTGATTACATTTTTCTGTTTAGAAAAAAAATGCCCAAGTTGACTTTGGGAGGCCAAGGTGGGCGGATCACTTGAGCTCAGGAGGTTGGGAAACAAAGCAAGACCCTGTCCCTACAAAAAATACCGAAAGTTAGCCCGGCATGGCGGCATGCACCCCGAGTCCCAGCTGCTGGGAAGGATCCCCTGAGTCCTGGGAGTTCAGACTTCAGTGAGCCAAGATCACACCACTGTACTCCAGCCTGGATGACAGAGACCCTATCACCCCAAGAAAAAACAAGAGCACCCTCCCTGTGCCCACCCTGAGCTGCTGGAGCTGAGCACGGCCTACGCTGTGGGAGCCCAGGGCGCCGTCCTGGACCCCCTGGGCGCGTCTGATGTCCTTGCCTCCTGCCTGTCAGCCTGCCTGTTTTTTGTTCCATATGTGTTTATCCTTGAATAATATCTATACGTGTTCATTGTAAAACTTCATATAAATAGTATCATCTTGGATGTATTGTTTTGCAAGTTATTTTTTTTAACCAGCATTATCTGTTGCTCTTCATCCATGTTGATACGTGTATTGCCCAGAAGTTCACAACCACGGGCGGTTCCCTTTCCCCAGTGGGCTTGTGCCAACATATGTGGGTTTCAACTTGTCACCATGACAAGGAGCCACCAGTGGCCTAGAAAGAGCCAGGACTGGGGATGTCAGCCTGGCACCAGGGCACACAGCAGCCAGGATGTCTGCGACCCCAAGGTGGAGCCTCCGTGGGGCTCTTCATGGGTCAGGGGGCTGCTCCTCATGGACAGGGGCTACTTGTGGAGGAGTATTTGGTGAGTCTGGGGCTCTGAGCAGCCCTGGCCACCGCTGGTGCTCATGCCTGGGGAAGGTGCCTCTGGCTCTGCCCTCAGCCAGCCTTACCCGCCCCTGTTCTGTGCCCCTGGCGTAGCCAGCAGGATCTGGTCCTGACTGAGGTGCTTTCCTTGGACTCCACTGAGGTCAAGCAGCCTTTACTTCTTGGTTTTTGACATTTGGATTTTTTTTCCTTATGTGATTTTTAATATTTTTCTTTATAGTCGATAGTTTTTTATTTGTTTCTTCCATGTTTTCAAACTATATTACTTTTATAGTAAGAAAAATGAGGTAACAGGCTGGGTGAGGTGGCTCGCACCTGTAATCCCAGCAGTTTGGGAGGCCAAGGCAGGCAGATCACCTGAGGTCAGGAGTTTGAGACCAGCATGGCCAACATGGTGAAACCCTGTCTCTTCTTAAAATATAAAAAATAGGCCAGGCGCGGTGGCTCACGCCTGTAATCCCAGCACTTTGGGAGGCCGAGGCGGGTGGATCACGAGGTCAAGAGATCAAGACCATCCTGGTCAACATGGTGAAACCCCGTCTCTACTAGAAATACAAAAAATTAGCTGGGCATGGTGGCGCGTGCCTGTAATCCCAGCTACTCAGGAGGCCGAGGCAGGAGAATTGCCTGAACCCAGGAGGCGGAGGCTGCAGTGAGCTGAGATCGCACCATTGCACTCCAGCCTGGATAACAGGAGCGAAACTCCATCTCAAAGTAAATAAATAAATTAATTAAATAAAATAAATAAAATAAAATAAAAATTAGGCCGGGCGTGGTGACTCACGCCTGTAATCCCAGCACTTTGGGAGGCCAAGGTGGGTGGATCATGAGCGAGACCATCCTGGCCAACATGGTGAAAGCTCATCTCTACTAAAAATACAAAAATTAGCCAGGCGTGGTGGCATGTGCCTGTGGTCCCAGCTACTCAGAGGCTGAGGCGGTAGAATCTCTTGAGTGAAGGATGCGGAGGTTGCAGTGAGCCGAGATTGCACCACTGCACTCCAGCCTGGCAACAGAGCAAGACTCTGTCTCAAAAAATAAAATAAAATAAAAATTAGCTGGGTGTGGTGGGTGCCTGTAATCCCAGCTACTCAGGAGGCTGAGGCAGGAGTGCTTGAACCCTGGAGGTAGAGGTTGCAGTGAGCCGAGATCATGTCACTGCACTCCAGCCTGGGTGGCCGAGTGAGACTCAGTCTCAAAAATAAAAAATGAGGTATCAAAGCATTGAGAATCTGTAAATGTATTAAATTTAGTAAAAAGTGTGGTAATTTCAGTACTCTCTTTTTGTTTTTGTTTTTAAATACAGGATGATTCAAAGCCACCCTACTCGTATGCACAACTAATAGTACAAGCAATTACAATGGCGCCTGACAAACAGCTCACCCTGAATGGAATTTATACACACATCACTAAAAATTATCCCTACTATAGGACAGCAGACAAGGGCTGGCAGGTAAGTGCCTTTCAGTGTGTTACTAAATAGAGACTAACTGATACCAAGAAGTGAATGGAGCAGCCGCTGTATTTCACGTACGCACAGGTTAGGGAGGTAGGAGGGGAGGGGGAGCCTCCCTTGCTGAGAGGAAGAGGAGGTGGGGGCCAGGGCCGCCACGCTCGCACCCTCTTCATGTAGAGCAGAAGGAAGCATGGTTCTGGGAGAGCGTCTGGACCTACGTGTTCTGTGTTTTATGGAACTAGATTTGTCTGCGTGGGGTTTGTGAAGCGTGGATTGTTTGAGCTACTTCCCTTTGACCGATGCAGTTCATACTGAAATGTAGGAAAAGCTGAAACCCAGCCTCCCCTTTCCTTTAGCTTTCTCTGTCTTCCTCACTTAGTCCTACTGAAGGACAGAAGTTTGGAGGTTTGCAGAGTGAGTTTTCAAACTGTTTTACCAAGAAGCAGCTTTCTCAGAGGACATCTTAACCAGGAGGCCAGGGTCTAAGACAGATGAATGTGGTGTGCCGTGTTTGAGCTGGGCAGCCCACCTGCTCATGGGAGCCTGGGCCACCCCCAGGAGACGCTTTGAAATCTGCAAAATACTCCCTTGGTCAGCTCACGCACCAGTAATTGTGACCCTTGAGACCGCGTAGTTTTTTCTCTTTCTGTGTGTCTGTGTTTTGTTGGCTGTTTGCTAGATGTATAGGAGAATCTTGCACTTTGAGAAAATTTGACAATGGGTAAGTTTGAAATACAGAATATGAAAAAGACAGAGAAGAAATGTATGTATGCTTATAGTTTTTGAATTCATTAAGTAACCAGTAACTATAGAATGTCTTTGAGGGTTTCTTGTAATGAGTAAATGATTCTTAAAAACATACCAGAACTACATGGCTTAGTGACGACGGTGGTGCGGGGGTAACTGTTTTCTCTTTATTGGAGGGAAAAACCATTTTTCTTTTAACTACAGATGTATAAACATGTTCTGTTAATAATAGCCTACTGGCTGGGCACAATAAGTCATGCCTGTAATCATAGCACTTTGGGAGCTGAGGCAGGTGATTGTGTGAGTCCAGGATTTCGAGAGCAGCCTGGGCAACATGGCGAAACCCTGTCTCTACAAAAAATAAAAAAAATTAGCTGAGTGTGGTGGCTCACTCCTGTAGTCCCAGCTACTCTGGAGGCTGAGGTGGGAGGATCACTTGAGCCCGGGAGGTAGAGATTACAGTGAGCTGTGATGATACTACTACACTTCAGCCTGAGCGACAGAGCGAGACCCTGTCTCAAAAAGAAAAAGCCTACCAACCACATAGTCCATATTTTCTTTGTGGAGGGGCTTGAGGGTCTTTAATCATGGAAGGTACAGAATGAGACCCAGCCTCCCCTCTGGCCCACCTCATTCCCCCCTTAACTGGAGTGTCTATACCCTGCCCTGCCCGCTTCCCTGTTTACATGAAGGAGGCATTTCTTAAATGACCATCAGGGAAATGCTGGATTTGGAGATTAGTTCCATTTCTAGCTACATGTCAGGGTCTCTTAACACGTTGCACGCTAAATTCTGGCCATATTTATTATATTTTAACCTAAAAAAGTGAGGCTGGCCAGTTGCAGTGGCTCATGCCTGTAATCCCGGCACTTTGGGAAGCCAAGGCAGGTGGGTCACGAGGTCAGGAGTTCGAGACCAGCCTGGCCAACATGGTGACACCCTGTCTCTACTAAAAATACAAAAATTAGCGAGGTGTGTTGGAGGGTGCCTGTGGTCCCGGCTACTCAGGAGGCTGAGACAGGAGAATCGCTTGAACCAGGAGGCGGAGGCTGCCAGGAGCCAACTCCATCCTGGAGAACAGAGTGAGACTCCCTCAAAAAAAAAAAAAAAAAAAAAAAAGGCTGTGCTTCAAACTGTATGTATACATACACACACACACAAAACCGGACAGTAACTTACATTCATGTTCCAGTGACCATGGCTTTATTGCTTTGTCAAGGAGAGAAACTCCACGTGGAGTCCGGCTTGGGTCCGAAGAGTTTAAGTGCGGCTTATTCTGGTGGTTCGAAATACCGGTTACTTGGTGCTTTGTGATGTGAGTGTTTCTAAGAAGCTTTATTAGACTTTAATCTGTTTCTCTTAGGTTGTATTTCCGTGTGTTTTTTCTAACATCCATTTATTTTAGAACTACCTATGAGTAGGACAAGGTTTTCTTGCTAAAGAGTGTGGATGGATAAAGGCCTGGCCTCAGTTATGGAAGGGGCTCAACTCAGGAAGGCAGAATAGGCTTTTCTGGGGAGCAGAGCCCTTGGAGCAAGGCTCCCCTGGACCACGGTCGTGGAGTGGTGAGGACCCCACAGGACCTCTCACGCATGCGCTGCTTTCTGCCAGCTACGGCGGGTGCCTGCACAGCCCACTTAGGCAGAGAATTGCGGACTAACACATGTCAAGCACCCCTCTCTGTCGAACTGTTATTAAACTTATTTTTATTGAAAGATTTTCTTTCCTGTCTGGATCAAGGTCTGTACGTCTACAACTGCATCTCTTGCCCAGTAAGGCTGCCCTTGTGTCATTTCATGCCTCGTAGCGCCAGCTAATTTAGCGGAGAGGGATTATTTCCTTCAGATAGCCCCAGTTCGTGGGCATGTACTCTTCTTTTTGAGATGGAGTCTTGCTCCGTCACCTAGGCTGGAGTGCAGTGGTGCGATCTTGGCTCACTGCAACCTCAGCCTCTGGTTTCAAGAGATTCTCCTGCCTCAATCTCCCAGGTAGCTGGGACTATAGGCACATGCCACCATGTCCGGATAATTTTTTGTATTTTTAGTAGAGATGGGGTTTCACTGTGTTAGCCAGGATGGCCTTGATTTCCTGACCTCATGATCCCCGCCCCCCGCCTCGGCCTCCCACAGGCGGGAGCCACTGCGCCCAGCCGGACCTGTCCTCTTAAATTCTTTCTGTCCTCAGCTGTACCCCTGGCTGTTGGAATACTGACCCTCACGGGCCCTTTCTCTGTCATGAGATTCTCTGAGTCGCCCTTCCCAGTGCAGCAGACCTGATTCCGACTTCCTGGCTGAAAAACAGAAGCCGGTGTTTTACATTGTCTCCCTGTGGCCTGGCTTTTTGTTAATCCACAGACGGCATCCGTGGGTGTGATGCGATGGTCTGAGGAATCCTATTTGAGAAGATGGCCTGTGTCTTTCCTTTGTTCGCATTTTCCTCCCAGAGTTATTTTTTTTAATGGTACAGAGTATTTAAGAAGTGACACATGAGTGCAGAAGAACACAGAGCGTATAGCTTGCCATTTAAAACCAGAATGGCCAAGGCCAAAGCTCTCTTCCAATGTGTTTGTTGCTGCCACTCTGAGTAGGCTCCTTGCCGCTGCCCCCACCCCCGCCCCCGCCCCTGCCGAGGCCCAACCTGCGTGCAGGGTACGGCAGCCCGCTCACTGCTCAGTCGGGGCAGCGCCCGCGTGCCAGGCCCAGCCCTGGGTATTGGCTGTGGCCATGCGCTGGCCCGGCCTCTGTGCCCCACGGGCTCTCTGTGTGCACCACCACTGTCGCAGCTCCAGGCCTCGCTGACTCCAAAGTGATTTTTTATGGTTTTATCATTTTATCGAGCCCAGAACTGAGATAATTGTTGTGACCATGAAAAGTTTGAAAACACTGGGCTCTCACACTCCAAGGGGACTAGAGCTGGTTTTTAAATTTTATTTTGAGGGGACGGAGTCTCACTCTGTCTCCCAGGCTGGGGTGCAGTGGCACGATCTCGGCTCACTGCAGCCTTTGCCTCCTGGGTTCAAGCGATTCTCCAGCCTCAGCCTCCTGAGTAGCTGGGACTACAGGCGTGCAGCACCACACCCAGCTAATTTTTGTATTTTTACTAGAGATGGGATTTCACCATGTTGGCCAGGCTGGTCTCGAACTCCTGACCTCAGGTGATCCACCAAGTGCCTTGGCCTCCCAGAATGCTGAGATTACAGGCATGAGCCGCCGCACCCGGCCTCTTTTATTTATTTTTGAGACAGGATCTCGCTCTGTCGTTAAGTCTAGAATGTAGTAGCACAGTCATAATTCACTGCAGCCTCAACCTGCTGGGCTCAAGTAATTCCCCCAAGTAGCTGGGACTACATGTGTGTACCACCGCACCTGGCTCCTTTTTAACACTATTTTTCATGGAGATAGGATCTCCCTGTGTTGCCCGGGTTGTTCTCAAACTCCTGGAGTCAAGCCATCCTCCTGCCTCGGCCTCCTAAAGTGCTGGGATTATAGATGTGAGCTACTGCACGCATACCTTGGTTTCTTTTAGAGTGAGGACCATGCTCTGCACGCAGCCTCACCCCTACTTTTTTGGCAGTGTTCCGGGACATTAGACCCATCCTCCATCCTCTGAAAGGAGCCTGGCCTGTTCCTTCTCAGTTTCTGTGCAGAACGCACACTGGGGGGCACTCATGGCTGGGTAAGGTTAAGTAGACAAGCTGTCCTCGAGAAACCTGGGGTCTGCTTAGAAAGGCTCACCCGGAAGGCGCGGGAGTGGAACCCCGGAAGGGAGGGAGCTGCTGCTCAGGAAGGGCTGATTTTCAGTAGAAGCTCAATTTGGAAAGGCTTTGGGGGAAAGAAAATTGGCTCAAAATTGCAGATCCTGTTCTTGATGTTTAGCGTTAAAGAATAACAGCCCACGTTTTCTCTGAAAGCTTTATAATTTCTGAATCAGTGGAGTCCAATCAATGTGGTTTTAATAAATGTAGCACTAGAATGAAGGAACATCCATCCCGGGTTGATCAAATTACAGCGGCCTTAAATTACCTTAGAAACATAGTTACTTTATTCTATTTGTGTCTACATTAAATGTCTCATTACTTCCTCATATTTTCTAGAGTCTCGCTGCCTGGCAAATCACAAGTAATCTTTCCTCATTTGCTCTTGGGATTGTCGTTAGGGAGGTGGATTAGAGAATAAAATAGGTTAGAATCTATTCTGATGACGCGGACTGGGTTATTTTATGTTTCCAGGACAGAAAATAGCAGCTCCCCAGTTCCATGAACTTATTTGCGTCTCGTAAGTGATGGTGGTGGTGACGCTCCTGCGTCAAGCCTTCTGGCCCATCATGTCCTCATTGTTCACACGGCTCAAAAGCCCGGTTCCCCAAAGTCACTTTTTCTGTTTCCAGATTCCCACTGTATTAACCTTTCCTCCTGACAGCGTGCAGCTAGATGACCCCACTTCAGGGCAGCCACAGTCTTCACTCAGGGGCTTGTTGAATGTTGTCTGCTCTTCAGCCTCAGACGCTGTGTGGGGCACGAGTTCTTTCTGAGTTCCTGCTTGGGAGGATCTGGCCAGAAAGAACAGCCAGGGGAACTGTCACCTCCCTGAGGCAGTGCCTGGGATTGCCGTTTCCACTGCTGGAGCCTTTTCTGTTACCATCATCTGCATTTGCGTTTCTTCATACACCGTCTTGGAATCTACCTTCTACTTCACACTTAAAATTCTGAGAGCAGTCCGCGAAGCTTTGCCTTCTCTGTCTTTGTCAGGGCAGCAATAACAGTAATATTTGATCTTCTGGAGGCATTGATAGAAAGGTTGGGCATCAGCTAAAACCAGTGATAAAACATTATAGCAAGTATCTGTGGTTTTTAGAATATTGGAAATCTCACCTGATGCACTGACTGTAAGCAGTTTCACAAATACCACACACAGCCTAGCCCGCCTCTTCATGGTGCCCATGAAGTTCCTCCATCCACGGGGGCCAAAGGCGTTAGGATGGCACTTGAACACCCCGAGGTTGGTTGGAAAGTGTTATTTCACATGTGGGATTTCTTAGTTACCTTTGACAATTTGGAATTTCAGGCTGAGGCTTGCAATTCTAATAAGGTTAATGGGGTATTTAGAAATGATCTTTTGGATAGCTTCAGATTTTGTTTTAAGTTACCACCATTTTAACACTTTCATAGCTTACTTTTGAATCTACACATTAATGTAAATTCATGAAATGTTCATATGAACCCAGCTTTTGTCAGCGTGAATCAGGTCACAGCAGGGGGCGGGGGGCTTTTTTCAGGTTATCTGGAAACCCTTAGCTGGGCTTTTTTTTTGAGACAGAGTGTGGCTCTATGTTGCCCACGGTGGAGTGCAGTGGCACAATGTACACTCACTGCAACCTCCGCCTCCCGAGTTCAAGCAGTTCTTCAGCTTCAGCTTCCTGGGTAGCTGGGACTGTAGGCACAGGCCACTGTGCCCAGCTGATTTTTATATGTTCAGTAGACACAGCGTTTTACCATGTTGGCCAGGCTGGTCTCAAACTTCTGGCCTCAGGTAAGCCATCGCCCCCGTCCGGCTTTTTGTAACAGAAGGAATGATGCACTGCTGAGGAGCTGGGAGGGAAATTTTTCCTGTGTAGCTTGCAAAATTATTTCAAGGATCAAATAAAAAACGGAGGCACTTTGCCAGGTCCTCTGCTCCTGGAAGATGGTCTCCATCCTGATGTTCAGCTTTCTGCTCATTTTTCTTTTTTGCTGGTTTGCCAAATACCTTATACTGGATTAATTTACTTTTAATGGCATGACAGATTCTGTAAGCTAATTCTGTGCGAGAAAGTATTTTAACAGAATGGCTCACATCAGCTCTATTTGTCTCCAAGCAGGGAGAGGTTGGCAGCTAAGTCATTGGCTCTACCTGGAGTGCTCTGTGCTGACACTCGTAGTCCTGGGTTTCCCACCTTGAAAGGAGATGGAGTGAGAAATGGCCTGTGCCCACGCTGTGCGGATTCCTCATCCCTCCATGCTCCAGCTCCCCACCCTGCCTCCCAGGGCCCATTCTGCCACGGGGTGTGGTATACTTTCCTCTTTGGGAGCGAATAGTGGCCTTGGGCTGTAGGGCTCAAACCCCAGGCTGCTACTTCCCTTGAGAATTGCTCACCAAGGGGGTGGACTGCTCCTTCCACACGGCACTGCCCATTAACGTCACTCTCCATGGTCGTTCGGAAGCATGATGACTGGGTTCACGCTCCTCTGTAGGCCGGGCCTCCCTCAGACCTTGTTACGATGTCAGCACATTACCCGGGTGACGCAGTAGAAAAAACTTCACTCTTGCAATCTGCCAGAGCCCAGCATCGAGGTTTCTGCTTTGCAGGGCACTAAAACTAGGACACAGTTTTATTTCTCAGCAAAGAAATATATGAATTCTACGTATTTTTTTATGTTTCATAGAATTCAATTCGCCACAATCTCTCTCTGAATCGTTATTTCATCAAAGTACCGCGTTCCCAGGAAGAACCAGGCAAAGGCTCATTCTGGAGGATAGATCCCGCCTCTGAAAGCAAATTAATAGAACAGGCTTTTAGGAAAAGACGGCCTAGGGGCGTGCCTTGCTTTAGAACCCCTCTGGGACCGCTCTCTTCTAGGTAAGGAAAAAAGAGGAACGAAAGGCCTCACCAACGGTCACTGAACTCACTGCCAATGTTTTGGTAACATTTCCTTGTGAACATGCAGGAACTGCCGAATGCGTTATGACTGAATGTTGGGATGGGATTTGAGCCAGTGTTGGTGCTGTCCAAGTATTTCTGGTTCTAGTGGTCTGAAGCATTTTAGACCATTTGCAAATTTTGACTTAAACCGTACTCCCACGTGAGATTGTTGCTTCATGGGGCTTAGGGCAAACTGTTCACACCAGTGCCACATTGACATTTCCCCTTTTCTTTGGCACAGGAAAAGTTCATTAAAACTACTTTTCAGAGGCCGGGTGCGGTAGCTCACACCTGTAATCCCAGCATTTTGGGAGGCTGAGGTGGGCGGATCACCTGAGGTCAGGAGTTCGAGATCAGCCTGGCCAACGTGGTGAAACCCCGTCTCTACTAGAAATTAAAAAAAAATTAGCCGGGCATGGTGGTGCATGCTTGTGATCCCAGCTACTTGGGAGGCTGAGGCAGGAGAATCGCCTGAACCCTGGGGGTGGGGCGGGGTGGAGGCTGCAGTGAGCCAAGATCTCGCCACTGCACTCTAGCCTGGGTAAAAGAGCGAAACTCCGTCTCAAAAAAAAGAAACTTACTTTTTAGCTGCTTAAACTTGAGTTGACTTGTACAGTGTTAATTTGCCAGAGTTTAAAATTCCTTATTTTTAGCTTCACGAATACTATTTTTAACAACAACAAAAAAAAGAGCATAACGTAAGTCTTAAGTGCCCACCAACTTGCCCGCTGCTGGCTCCTGCGGTCTGTGCACAGGAGCTGCTCAGAGAGAAAAGGCAGCCAGCCCTACCCCACGGCCATGCTGTGCATGTGGGCTCGGAGCACGTGATGGCCCTTCACACACGGGCTCAGCCTGTCTTGCCGAGTGCCCTGCTCAGTTCACAGGCGTACAGAGAAGCAGAACGTACACAGCAGTAGTCGGTTGGCAGGAGACGAACAGCACCCCCTTTGCAGAGTGCACTGAGTAACACATTAAGTGCTGTGTCTGAGTACATCACCTGTAAAAATACAATGTCTTCTTCTCGGTGACATAGGAGTGCCCCAGCCTCTCCCAATCACGCTGGAGTGCTGTCTGCTCACTCTAGTGGCGCCCAGACCCCTGAGAGCCTGTCGAGGGAAGGTTCGCCGGCCCCCCTGGAGCCTGAGCCTGGCACCGCGCAGCCCAAACTCGCTGTCATCCAGGAAGCCCGATTTGCGCAGAGTGCACCAGGTGAGACAGCGGGAGAGGAAGCACGGGCCGGACAGTGTGAGCCAGACACGGACGCTGGGCTCAGCAGAGAAGGAACAGCCGGACTTCCCAAGAGGCCTCTCTGTCCCTCTGTACCTTATACCAGGACCTGAGTGTCATTTTATAGGCCTTGCAAAACTGGTAGCACTGGGAGTGTTTTTCAAAATCAGTGAGTGTTCTTTAAATGACTGTGTATGGATGCCTGAAATAACTTAGGATTAACCTGTTTCTAAGCTTGTCATTCAAAAATCCATGAAATGACCCCCTCCAAAAAAAAAAAACCGTAAAAAGTAGACAAACTAGACACTGATTGGAAGCAAAAGCATGTCCTTTTTATTTATTTATTATTTTTTTTGAGACGGAGTCTCGCTCTATTATTGTCCAGGCTGGAGTGCAGTGGCACCATCTCAGCTCACTGCAACCTCCGCCTCCTGGGTTCAAGTGATTCTCCTGTCTCAGCCTCCCCAGTAGCTGGGACTACAGGCACCCGCCACCACGCCCAGCTAATTTTTATATTTTTAGTAGAGACGGGGTTTCACCATGTTGGCCAGGATGGTCTTGATCTCTTGACCTCATGATCCACCCGCCTAAGCCTCCCAAAGTGCTGGGATTACAGGCGTGAGCCACTTCGCTCAGCCTAACATTTCCATTTTAAGAAATAGGTAAACACTTTGCAGTTTACTTAGAAAGTCATAATGTGAAATAAAAATGTATGCCCTGGGGAATTAAACAAATGTAGTGTAGACATGTGTCCAGACTAAGTCGGTTACAGTTGACAGCAATGTGGATTGGATCAGTTGGGATTTCTGGCCATGCTGGGCCAGAGAACACTGTCCCCTGCCCACTGTCAGTAGCACCTGACAGCCATGTCTCTCTCTCTCTGGTCTAACCCCCCAAACCACAAAGGGCAGGGGCTGGGTGCCAGAGGCTCTGTGACAGCCCCACGCTGTTTTTGAACTTCCTGCTTCCCTTCCACCTGTTTCAAGAGGGAGGTGTTGATCCTAGGTGAGTGTGGCCCTCGTCTTTCTGGCCTACAGGGGGAGTTTCTTCTTCTTCTGTTGTTTTTGTTTGTCCTGAGACAAGGTCTTGCTCTGCCGCTCATGCTGGAGTACAGGGGCATGTTCTTGGCTGTCTGCAGTCTCCACCTTCCAGGCTCAAGCAGCCTTCCGTCTTTGGCCTCCCACAAAGCTGGGGCTGCAGGCTCACACCAGCATGCCCAGCTAGTATTTATGGTAGAGACAGGGTCTTCCTGTGCCCAGGCTGGGCTCAAACTCCTCCCACCTCAGCCTCCCAAAGTACTGGGATTGCAGGGAGCCACCATGCCTGGCCCAGTTTCCTCTTATGTTGTGTATTGACATTTTCTTTTTTTATGAAAAAGGAACTGTAGGAAGAGGGGTTATGAGGTATCTAAACAGAGCCAAAATTGCCTTTTTAGGAGTTACAGAGGGGAATTAAATACCCCTGTTAAAATACGACACCTCCCTCATCGTTAGCAACTTCGCTATTATGAGGTAAAATAGGGCCACGCCCAGTATTTTAAATTCAAGTTTGTGTGTTGTCAGTGCTTAGTGTGGGAATCTGTGTTTGCGGAAGTCAGTATCTGTGAGTGTCGGTCCTGCTCGTGTCTTTCACCAGGGTCACCTCTGTCCAGTCAGCCAGTCTTAATCACCGTCCAGCGGCAGCTACCGCAGGCCGTCAAGCCTGTCACCTACACTGTAGCCACCCCGGTGGCCACCTCGACCTCCCAGCCACCCGCCGTGCAGACGGTCCACGTCGTCCACCAGATACCAGCAGCGTCGGTCGCCGGCGTGGCCGGGCTGGCCCCAGCGAGCACGTACACCGTCTCTGGACAAGCCGTGGTCGCCCCTGCAGCTGTGCTGGCCCCTGCCAAGGCAGAGCCCCAGGAGAACGGAGATCACAGGGAAGTCAAAGGTGGGCAGTGGGCACAGAGAGGCTGCTCCCTCCAGCCTCGCACTCTGGGACGCCCGTAGGAGTTCTTCACCCTTTCTCATTCGCGCTGTTTTAGAGGCGTCTTCTAGCAGGCCCGATAACCATCTGCTGATTATATTTTAAACTGGTAAGACCTTTGTCTGCTTTCCAGTAGTAACATTAGTGGCGTTTCTTTTCCTTTTCCTTTCAGTGAAAGTGGAGCCTATTCCCGCCATTGGCCATGCCACGCTAGGCACTGCTAGCCGGATCATCCAGACGGCACAGACCACCCCGGTCCAGACGGTGACCATAGTACAACAGGCACCTCTAGGTCAACACCAGCTACCAATAAAAACTGTAACACAAAACGGCACTCACGTGTCGCCAGCCCCCACTGCGGTCCACGGCCAGGTGAACAACGGTAAGATGTGCCGGTGGTTCGCCGCGGGTGTGGGTATTGGGAGCAGAGGCCCGTCACTCAGGGTTTTGGTTCTAATAATTCTAACATTAGTCTGAGGACATGTTTGCATTTCTAAGCTGCAGGAAGTCTAATAAGGCTGTAGGAAGTGCTTGTGAAGTCGGCTGTCATGGGATCCCCATTGGAGGACCTGTCTGAAAAGAGAGGAGAGTTTCTAATACCTTGAGACAGAAAAAGACTCTCGCCTTTTGTGGATTTCCTGGGTGTGGCCAGGAAGCAGACTGCAGTGGGCCGTAGGCTGTGGCTCTCGAGCTCCCGTGTGGAGCCGTCACCTGCCTTTTCGCGTGGCCTTGCGTGCCCTTTGCTGGTGCTGTGTTGCTGAGGGTGGGAGAGAGGCTGCTTTTCTGTGCCTTTTGCTCTGAAAGCCCATCGGAGGCCCGTGCACGGAAACAGCACGGATTGTGACGCCTACAGACGGACACAGCAGAGTCCCTGCACCGACACCAGGTTCTCTGCCTTCCCCCTGCCCCGTGGAGTGTGGAGAGGGTAGGAGTCCCAGCTGGCTGCCAGGCCAGCTTGGGTGTTGGGGCCTAGCAGAGGGGTGTGGCAGTGGGGTCGCGCTGCACCACACCGTGCCGTGCTGGGCTGGGTTGGGTTGGGTACACATGGGTGTCGGTGGCTGCATGGGCTGATCCTGACGTTTGCAGGATCTCAAGCAGGCAGATTCAAAGCTGCCAACCAAAACTGTCTCTCTGCCCATGAGACACTTTCTTTGAGAGAGGGTAGGGATCAGAAAGCTTTACCATGACCTTCAAATCCTTACCGAATGTTAAAAACAGAGACCTTGAAACCTGCAGGTAGCTCCTCCTGTGACTTAGCACCACCTTCCCTCTCCCCAGATTTATGGAAGAACAAGGTCTGGAACCTTTTCTGGGGAAGACTGGCTACCTGAGAGCTACTGTTTTTAGGCAGCAGTTCCCAACACGTCCTGCCTGTAGGTAGATTGCAGAGTTTGTCGTCATCAGTTTCCTTGGAATGCCTTCTTCCCCAGGCACTGCGCCTCCTTGGTGATGGAGAGTTGCCCAGGCTTCCCCCTCCTCTTCTCTCTGGGAAGCTGTGGCTGTGGATCCTCCTGGTGGCCCTGCAAGTAGCTGGGAGGAAATGGAAGCGGGGAGGGCAGGCAGGTGGCATCCTGGTCTAAGTCATTCTTCCCACGTTTAAGACGGCATGGGCCTCCCTGAGTCCCAGACTTGATGTGTGTCAGAATTCCCCAGAGGGCTGCATTCCCAGAGTTCCCAACTAGGCATGTTTGGTGTGGGGCCCAGAATGTGCATTTCTGAGACATGCTAGGTCTGCCGAGAGCCACCTGAGCAGGTCAGAGGCCTTCTGGGTCCACCTCTCTTAGAAGCAGTTTGAAAAACTGTAACCCTTTTACATATTTGTGTAAAATTTTTCATTACAAATTTAAGCAAGTGTTTTAATTTTCCACTGTTGAGAATACTGATGTTTTAAAAGTAAAACTCTTATGGGATTATTTATTTTAAGTGTACTGCTGGACTCCAAAACAGCCGTTGTTAGATGTCCACTCACCCATGCATGGACCAGGCAGGAGTGGCCCAGACCCCCTCGGCTGTGGCCCAGTCTTTCCATCTCACGCTCCCCCACAGATCTTGTACAAGTTGTGTACTTCAGGCTTAAATGTTATTTATGAGTCATATCTTTTCTCTGCAGCAACAATATATAGATACAAATATTAAAGACTAATTTGTCTATAACAAAATTGATAAAAGTTAAAATCATAACAAATTCTTCTAACATGAAAAATTAAAATGTTACTAAGATGCCTTTCTTAATATTTTTAGCTTTAAAGAAAACTACCTGCCTAGTTCTGTATTCATTGATGGTTGCACAGGCCTGCTGTCAGCACTGAAGCTCCTTCTGGATCCACGTGACAGTCAGTGATCTCAGCCAGGCGCGGTGGCGCACACCCGTAATCCCAGCACTTTGGGAGGCTGAGGTGGGTGGATCACCTGAGGTCAGAAGTTCCAGACCAGTCTGGCCAACACGGTGAAACCCTGTGTCTACTAACAATACAAAAACTAGCCGGGCGTGGTGGCAGGTTCCTGTGGTCCCAGCTACTCAGAAGGCTGAGGCAGGAGAATCTTGAACCCGGGAGGCGGAGGACTCCAGCCTGGGTGACAGAGCAAGACTCTCAAAAAAAAAAAAAAAAACCTGTTGGGAAATCCTGTGGGTTCTCCTTTGATTTGATTGAAACCTTTGACTAAGAAACGACTTGTTTTGAAAAAGGGTTTCTTTCAATAAATAATAATTTGGGGTTCCCAGCACCAGTTTTCTCCTTTCTTTTGCTTTCCTTTGTCTTTTTTTTTTGAGATAGAGTCTTGCTCTGTTGCCGAGGCTTAGAGTGCAGTGGCGCAATCTCAGCTCAGTGCAATCTCTGCCTCCGGGGTTCAAGCGATTCTCCTGCCTCAGCCTCCCGAGTGGCTGGGATTACAGGCGCACACCGTCACCCCTGGCTAATTTTAAAATTTTTTTGGTATTTTTAGTAGAGAAAGGGTTTCACCATGTTGGTCAGGCTCGTCTCGAACTCCTGACCTCGTGATCTGCCTTGGCCTCCCGAAGTGCTGGGATTATAGGCATGAGCCACTGTGCCTGGCCTTTTTTTTTTTTTTTAAAGAGACAAGGTCTCACTTTCCACCAAGGCTAGAGTGCAGTGGTGTGATCACCACCTAATGCAGCCTTGACCTCCTGTGCTGAAGCAGTCTTCCCACAGCCGCCTTCTAAGTGGCTGGGACACCAGGCATGTGCCGCCACTCCCAGCTAAGTTTTACACTTTTTAATAGATAGGGAGTCTCAGTGTGTTGCCCAGGCTGGTCTCAAACTCTTGGTTTCACACAGTCTTCCCACCTCGGCCTCTCAGAGTGCTGGGATCACGGGTGTGGGCACCACACCCAGCCAGCACCAGTATTTTCTATTAGTGCTTTCATGCTGCGTCCCAAAGTTTTTATCCCCAAAACCCGTGCCAATTGAGCAGATGAGAGAGGCTGTTGAGAGAAGGTGGTAGATCGCCTTTAAGAAAGGCTTCATGGCCAAGTAGAGATTCTGGAAATGATTTTCCTTAAAACGGTGTCAGCGACAGCCTGGATGCTGAACACCTAATGTGAGAACCGCTGCACAGGTGGTTGTGCCAATTAGTCTTTTTTTTTAAGCCATAATATCTTGTCATGTTGCCCATGCTGGTCTTGAGCTCCTGGGCTCCAGCAGTCTGCCCACCTTACCCTCTCAAAGTGCTGAGATGACAGCGTGAGCCACCACACCTGCCTGAACATCTTCTCTTGTGCTTTATGGTGATTTGCATATCTTCTTTGAAGAAATGTCTTTTTAAATCCTTTGGCCCCCCCCCCCTCCTTTTTTTTTGAGACGGAGTCTCACACTGTTGCCCGGGCTGAAGTGCCATCGCGTGATCTTGGCTCACTGCAACCTCTGCCTCCTGGGTTCAAGCAGTTGTCCTGCCTCAGCCTCCCAAGTAGCCGGGATTACAGCCACCCCCCACCCCCCCCACCCCCAGCTAATTTTTTGTATTTTTTCGTAGAAACAGGGTTTCACTATTTTAGCCAAGCTGGTCTCAGACTCCTGACTTCCTCGTGATCCGCCCGCCTCAGCGTCCCGAAGTGCTGAGATGACAGGCGTGAGCCACTGCACACGGCCTCCTTTGCCCATCTTTTAATTGGGTTGTGTTTGTTGTGAAGTTTGTAGTTCTTCATGTATGTGTAGAGATTTCAGGCCCTTTCCAGGCAGGTAGGTGTACCTCAGAGATGCTGGAGGGTTGGTTCCAGACCACTGCAGTAAAATGAATGTTGCAGTCTGCCAGTCACATGACATGTTTGGTTTCCTACTATTTTAAGCAGTTATGTTTATACTGTATTGTTTATTAAGTATGCAGTAACATTATGCCTAAAAACATAGGCCAGGTATGGGGCTTAGTCCTGGAGTCCCAGCACTTTGGGAGGCCAAGGCAGGAGGATTGCTTGAGGCCAGGCGTTTGAGGCCAGCCGGAGGTATTGTAGTGAGACCCTGTCTCTATTTCAAAATAAATTTTAGGAGGTGGGTGCAGCAAGGTGGCTAAATGGAATCCTCCAGCAGGGATGCCCCCTAAGGGAACACCAAAGCGAACAACGAGCCACACGAAGAAGCACCTTCCCGGCCTGTGCCGACAGCGAAAGCCTGTCTCTGCAGAACAGCACAAAAATTAGCCAGGCCTGTGCCTGTAGTCCCAGCTACTCAGGAGGCTGAGGTGTGAGGACCTCCTGAGCTCAGGAAGTAGAGGCTACAGTGAGTTACGGTCATGCCACTGCACTCCAACCTGAGTAAGAATGAGACTTTATATCAGAAGGAAAGAAGCACTTTCATAAGAGCCAAAAATGAGGTGAGCGATTACAGTACCTGGTTTAGGATCCCATTGAGGAAAGAGGTACTGAGGTAGGAAAGGCAGCCTTGATTCACTGACACCGCCTTTCCGTCGTGCCCTGCAGTGGTCTCGTGGTGTGAAGGAAGAGTCTGTCCGCCTGAGGGAGGGAGAGCACAGTGATTGTGGGACATTGCATTGAAACTCAGCGCTGCCCTGTTACAGCAGAAAGCCACTCGGGGCAGAACTCAGCTGGTGCACTGGAGGCAGCATTTAGAGCAGCCGTAGCCCCGTGTGTGGGTGAAGTTGCTCTGGAGACCTAAGTAAACTTGAAAGGCAGTCTAGAGCCAGCGGACTTGGGGTGCATACAACCTGGTGAGACACCAGCTAGGGTGGCCGAGGGCGTGCTTGCGTCACCTCCTTCCTGGCATGGCATCACACGACTGCACTGTAGCCTGGGCGACAGAGCAAGGCCACGTGGCTTAAAACAAACAAAAATTAACAAACTGAGTTTAACACATTAAAAAGCATTCTTTTTTTTTTTTAAATTAGATGGAGTTTTGCTCTTATTACCCAGGCTGGAGTGCAGTGGCACCATCTTGGCTCACTGCAACCTGTGCCTCCCAGGTTCAAGCGATTCTCCTGCCTCAGTCTCCTGAGTAGCTGGGATTATAGGCACACGCCATCACTCCCGGCTATGTTTGCATTTTTAGTAGAGATGGGGTTTCTCCATGTTGGTCTGGCTGGTCTCAAACTCCCAACCTCGGGTGATCTGCCCACCTCAGACCCATAAAGTGCTGGGATTACAGGTGTGAGCCACCACGCCCAGCTGCAAAAAGAAAATTTATCATGACCAAGTGAGATTTGTCTCAGGGATTCAAGGATGGTTCAGTATACATGATATGTCAACAAAATGAAGGACACAAATCATAATGATCATTTCAGCTGATGGTGAGAAAGCTTACAATAAAATTTGATATCCCACCTGAGTGCAGTGGCTCACAGAATGACACTCAAGACCAGATCAGTCACTGATCATACGTCACTGAAACAGATATAGTAATAAAAAGGTTTGAAATATTGTGAGAATTACCAAGATGGGACAGAGACATGAAATTACAGTACCTGCTTTTGGCAAAATGGTGCCGGTAATCCCAGCATTTAGGGAGGCTGAGGGTGGATCACAAGGTCAGGAGATCAAGACCATCCTGGCTAACATGGTGAAACCTTGTCTTTACTAAAAAAACAAAAATTAGCCAGGCGTAGTGACACGCACCTGTAGTGCCAGATACTCGGAGGCTGAGGTAGAAGAATCACTTGAACCCAGGAGGCAGAGGTTGAAGTGAGCCAGGTTTGCACCACTGCACTCCAGCCTGGTGTCAGAGCAAGACTGTCTCAAGAAAATAACAACAACAACAAAACATTCTCTATCCCTTCATCATAACCCCTACTCCCCACAAAGCTAGGAGAACATACCTGAACACAATAGAGGGAACATAATGCAGTAGGAGCCACATAAAACAGACCTACAGCTAGTAGCATACTGAATGTGGAAAAACTGAAAGCCTTTCTTACAAGATCTTGAACAAGACAAGGATACCTACTTTCACCACTCTTACTTAACATACTACTGGAGGTCCTAGCTAGAGCAATCAGATGAGAGAAAGGGCATCCAAAGGAAAAGAAGAAGTCAGATTATCCTTGTTTGCAGATGATATGACCTTACATTTAGAAAAACTTAAAAGACTCACCAACAGGCCGGGCGCGGTGGCTCAAGCCTGTAATCCCAGCACTTTGGGAGGCCGAGGCGGGTGGATCACAAGGTCGAGAGATCGAGACCATCCTGGTCAACATGGTGAAACCCCGTCTCTACTAAAAATACAAAAAAATTAGCTGGGCATGGTGGCACGTGCCTGTAATCCCAGCTACTCAGGAGGCTGAGGCAGGAGAATTGCCTGAACCCAGGAGGCGGAGGTTGCGGTGAGCCGAGATCGCGCCATTGCACTCCAGCCTGGGTAACAAGAGCGAAACTCCGTCTCAAATAAAAAAAAAAAAAACAAAAAAAAAAAAACAAAAAGACTCACCAACAAACTATTAGAATTGATAAATTCAGTAAACTTGCCCAATACAAAATTAACATACAGAAAATCAGTAGCATTTATGTATACAAACTATGAATAATCTGAAAAAGAAATTAAGAAAGTAATCTCATTTACAATACCTACAAAAAATTAAATACCTAGGAGTAAACTTAACCAAAGAAATGAAAGATCTCTATAGTGAAAACTAGAAAATAAGAAATGGAAGAGGACGCCAAAAAATGGAAGGCTATTTCATGTTCACAGGTTAGAAGACTGAATATTGTTAATGTCCATACTACTCAAAGTAATCTACAGACTCAGTGCAAGCTCTGTTAAAGTAGCAGTGACATTCTTCATGGAAATAGGTAAGATAATCCTAAAATTTACATGGAACCACAAAAGACCCAGAATGGCCAAAACCATCCTGAGCAAAAAACAAAACTGGAAGAATCACATTACCTGATAGAAAATTGTATTCTAGAGCTATAGTAACTAAAACAGCATGGTACTACCGTAGAAACAAGCGTATAGGCAAATGGAATAGATGAGAGAACCCAGAAGTTAAGCCTCACAGCTACAGTTAACTCATTTTCGACAACGGTGCCAAGACACGCATTGGGGAAAAGACAATCTTTTCAGTAAATGGTGCTGGGAAAACTGGGTATCCGTATGCCGAAGAATGAAACTAGACCCCTATCTCTTGCCGTATACAAAGATCAAAATGGATTAAAGACTTAAGTCCCAAACCCCAAAGTATGAAACTCCTAAAAGAAGCCGTGGGGAAAACTCTCCAGGACATTGTTCTGGGCAAAGATTTCTTCATTAATACCCACAGGCACGGGCCACCAAAGCAGAATTGGACAAGTGGGCTCACGGCAAGTAGAAACGCTTTTACGCACAAAGGAAACAGCCCCAGCCAGGCCCCGCCGCGTGTGGCTCCACCTCTGATCCCAGCAACTTCCTCGCCTCTCGGCCTTCACAGAGTTGAAGAGTTGGGGCCTGGCTCCGGACTGGGCGTTGGCTAAGGGGATGTGGTGGGTGCTTTGACCTTCTGTCCTGCCCATCAGCAGTCAGGCTCTTTTGCTTTCCTGCCACTCATGCCTTCCCTAGAGGAGCACTTTTAATTTTCTTCAAGAACTTTTCCTTTGCATTCACAACTTAGTGCCAATGACCACAGGAGGCTGATCTGTTGGCCTAGCTCAGCTTTCAGCATGCTCTCCTCAGGAAGCTTCATCATTTCTAGCTTTGGGGTTAAAATGAGGGACATGAGACCTCCTTTCACTTGAACACTTAGAGGTCGTTATAATAGGGCTGTTAGCTGCTTAACTTCAGTATCGTTTTCTCTAGGACTCTGTCTCTCCTAGAGAGCAGTCAGAACACACTGTTGACCACTTCAGCTCAGCCTCGCGTTACATGGGCTCAGTTCACGGTGCCCCAAAACGGGGACACTCAAGACCACATCAGAGGTCACTGGTCGTATGTCACTAGGACAGATAAGATAATGAAGTCTGAAATACTGTGAGAATTCCCAAGGTGTGACGGACGTGCTCTTGGCAGGACGGTGCCGGGAGGCTTGCTTGACTGCCACAAACCTTCAGGAAAAAAAGGCAGTTATCTGTGAAGTACAATAAATGAGGCATGCCTGTATCATTTGCAAGTATTTCCTCCTATTCTGTAGGTTGTCTTTTTAAAATTTTTATGAAGTCCAGTTTATATACTTTTCCCTTTGTTTCTAATGTGTTTAATATAGAGTGTCTTGCTTGTGGTCCAGGCTGAGTTCAGTGGCAGGATCTTGGTTCACTGCAGCCTCAACCTCCTGGGCTCAAGTGATCCCCTCCCACTTCAGCTTCCAGGGTAGCTGGGACCACAAGCATGTGCCACCACGCCCAGCCTTCTCCCTCCCCACCCCCCCACCCCCCGGTAGGGACAGGTCTCACTGTATTAGCCAAAGCTGATTCCGAACTCCGAGGCTTAAGTAATCCTCCTGTCTTGCCCTCCCTAAATGCTAGGATTATAGGCATCAGCCACTTCGCCTGGCAGTTGTTTAAATGATAGACCTCCCCTGTGAAACCATCTATGAGGTTTCTGGTTATTCAGTCTCTTGACTTCTTATCCAATATTGATGATAATCTCGTGCTTTAAGATTGAGAAACCTTTTCTCCTCTGGTTAGTTTAAGTATTCTATATGAATTGAAAGGACTGAGTCAGGTGTGGTTGTTCAAACCTGTAATCCCAGCACTTAGGGAGGCTGAGATGGGAGGATTGCTTGAGCCCAGGAGTTTGAGGCCACCCTGGGCACAGCAAGAACCCATTCTCCACAAAAACAACGAAGGGCCAGGTGCGGTGGCTCATGCCTGTTAATCCCAGCATTTTGGGAGGCCGAGGTGGGCAGATCACTTGAACTCAGAAGTTCAAGACCAGCCTGGCAAACATGGTGAGACCATGTACAAAATTTTAGTTGGGCTTGGTGGCACAAGTCTGAAATGCCAGCTACTGGGGAGGTTCAGGTCGGAGGACTGCTTGAGCCTGGGATGCGAAAGTTGTAGTGAGCCGAGATCGCGTCATTGCACCCCAGCGTGGGTGACAGATCGAGACCCCCATCTCAAAAGAAAAGAAATCAGTAAAGACTGAAACTCTGCAGACTCTTTTCCTCCTGTAAACCACATTTTTGGTACTTCTGAGTACATTTGAAATCGCAGCCTTGATTTGTATTTCTGCCAATCTTACTCATTCTGTTTTCTCAGTAATTCTGCAAACTGGTTTTCTTTCTAGATATTTACTTTCAACATTGCCCCACGGTAAATTTAGTATTTTTGCTGAAGAATTAACGTGGATGCGGCCGGTTTTCCCTCCCAAGCCTGTGGTTGGGTGTCAGCAGAGGTGCTCACGGCTCGTGTCGTGACGGTTGTCAGGCAGGCGGCCCCACCCCGCGCAGGGCCCGTTTGGAGGCTTCTGTCCAGCTCCGGAACTCACGTCTCGCACCGCACCGTCCTCTGTGCCCTCTGGCACGCACCTCCCCGTTTCGCTTCAGTTGTCTACACCCTTAGGGTCTGTGTTCTGAGCGCACACTTTGACCAAGCTTCTCCCACGGTGCCCCGTGCTGCTGTGGCCGAGGATGGCGGCGGGGGCCCATGGGTCCCGAAAGGGGGTGGCCGCCCAGGTCTCAGCACCACTTCGAAGGCGCCTCGCTGAGCCCTCCGCAGTGGAGCCTCTTCCTGGGCCACATCTGGGGCTGCTCCCGGAAAGCCGGCATGTCTGGCCACGCGTGTTCTGCTTTGCCCCGGAGCTCTGTGGCCCCAGGCGCAGCGACCCCTGGCTGAAGATCTGCCTCCCTGGGCCCCATCTCAGCAGGGGAGGGGAAGGAAGAAAGGTCATCCAGCCTCCTGACCCTGAGGGATAGACTGGC